ATGTGAGCAAGAATGAAGAGAAGATCTAAATTGAACACACTGCGCAAGAAGATCTTTGATTGAATGAATGTTCTAGCGAGTAAGTTTACAAGTAAACAATTGTGATAGATCTTTTAATTACCACATATAGTAAAAAGTTTTCATTCAATAGTATGTTCATTAGTTTCTATAAAATTCTCATTTGAAAGTTAAAAATAAGAGAACTTGAGTTATTGTATATCATTTTGATGAAATACAGTTAGTGATGCTTTTTCTCGGACGAAAATTTTTCTCCGTATAACAGTAATATCGTGACTTTTATCAAATTTTTACTAAATCTTTGATTGCTGATTTCTGGTTTTTGACAAAAACAGAAAAGAAAATACCTTGATCCTAAGCAGCACCTCAACTCTCGTTCGAATCCTCATACATCCTCAAGACAGTTAATTCAAGACAGTTAATTTCTTGTTTCTGATTTCGTATCTATTTTTGCAAAAATATGATTCGGAAGAACCGATAATTACATTTGTATTACTTTAACTTCCTAATTTCAAGTTTTAGAAAATTCTCTGAATACCAATGGTACAAATAAGAAAATTTTCGCTTGAAGAAACATCGAAAAATTGATGTTCACTGAAATGCGACTTATTAAAGAAGAAAAAATTATTTTTAATCCTAAAGCAGAAATGTTCACAAAAAAAAGAGATTGCATTGAGCGTTTGTTCACTGTTGAAAATGTTTAATATGCATATAATCTTAGTTTTGAAAGGTGACGGAAAATTTTGGTAGATAATAGTTAACCTGACTCAGACTATCCTTGTAGTTATTTTTCACTTGTAATATACGATTCCTGTTTGAAGTGATTAACAATATATGGCCTAATATTTGCCTACTTATAAAGAATCCAATGTTTCCTTTAAAATGTTTTCTAAAGCCTGTTTGACTAAGAAAATATTATTCCTGTGGCTAAAGAAAGGGTCATATGAAATAAAATGAGTTTGCTTATATGTATAAAGTTATGTGAACACAAACAATATTTCATAATAACTGATGATAAATTGTCAATAACATTTTCCTTACTTTTTCTTGATGTAGAAGACTGAAATTTTTATTACATATATATTTAACAAAGATCTTTAATTTTCCAAACTTTTTAGCTGTTTAGCTAAAATTAACGCTGAAATGCCTGGATAGGATTGAAATATGTCAGTTTTCACACTTGATTTTTGTAATTTTTTCAAAACTTAGTCAAAATCGTGACCGAGTCACTTAGAAATATCATAACTATACACCGCCAATCCATTTATATGTAGAATCCTTCAGATTTAATTAGAGATTTTATCTTAAATGTCCACTAATTATAAAAACAAAAAAATATTTTTAATGTTTTGTATTGAATTTCGAATGAGACAAAAAGGACAAGGTATTAATTGGATGATTCGTCGCACAATTATTTCATAAACATAGAGAATAAGTGGGCAACGATATTCAATTTGATGATCTATAGAGAGAATTTAAATCAAGTGGTATGTACTGAAAGAAAACATTCATCATTAGTGTTTATCATATCGCTGGAATTAGGAAAAAGAAATTGTAGAATAGTGAAAGAAATTTTCGAAAGAAAAATATGAAAAAATGACAGATGAAATACCATATCGGTTATAGTTGATCATAGAAAATAACGGAGAACAGATTAATACATATTGGATTATAATATAGGTAATTTACGCTTTTGAAAAAACATTGTTTTGTGAAGTTTGTTTCCATTATTAATTTATTAATATCATTAGTCAAGATATAAACATATCGCAAAAATCAATTACGAAGATTCATATATTCCAATCTGATCCATTAATTTCAACATTAACTTTAGATTGACACTTGGAACTTTGAAAAATAAACTATCTTCCATTTAATATATCTGTCAAAAATATATCACTCTTCCAAATAAAGAAAAACTATGAAAAATTCTATTAATAATTTATCGTCAGGTATTATAAGATAGTCTTGGTATTTTTGAGAGCCTTGAACAGCTTTTTGAAATGAAATTTTGTCATGCTTGCAATTCAGTCAATCACGTGTTTTCACTTTCCATCTCGCGAGCAATCCGTTTTTTTTTGACAAAGATTCAAGTTTTTCGGATGTTTCCCATTTCTAACTTTTGTTTAATCAGTTTTCTCAGACTCGGATTTCAACGAATGACATGTTTTCCCTGTATAGCTTTCATTCAATCAGTTTTTTTTTCATACTATAAGTTGAGCGATTCAGATGATTTCGATACCTAACTTTGGCTCAATTAGCTTTTCAAGCTGACGGTTATGTCAATCACATGTGAGAAGTAGATGTGAGTAGAAAATGTGGGCCTTCGTGTTGGTGAAGATAGAGATGTGGTGATCCAATGTGTGATGTTGGGTGAGAGTATGTTGCAGCTACAGAACGGATGTTAATGTGAGTACGAGTCTGTTGATTTAAATTAGAAAAAATAATCACCACATTGAACATATACAAGCTTCCTCTCTAACATCTTTACCTACACTCACACTCCCCAGACTGTTCAAAATAGATAAGCTTTACGGCTCGTTTTCGATCAGTAGACATAAAAACGGATCAATTCTATGGTCGTAAATAGTTCAAATACAAATCGTAAACTGTGCGCATTCAGTGTTTGATCAAACGCAGAAAGACAGTTGATATTTTAATAATAGTCTGAACAGTCATATACAATCCGTTTGTCGTACAGTAAAGGTATTTAAATCAATCTTTAAAGTATTCCTAAACAGACTGTGGTTCACCGTTTTCGTGCCACAAATTTGTGATTCACAGACAGCCGTGACACTTAAAATAGTGATCTTCATTCGATCAATTTTAGTTATAGGGCATCATAAGGTATTCTAGCACATTATATACACTTGCTTGAATATGAAAGACTGAAGGGATAGTACGTGACGTTGTTCATGTTTAGATAAATTACACGCTTCTATCTCATTATGTTTCACCGATGAATTCTGGGATATCTAATGAGTCTCTTTTTAGGTCTTTATAGTACTCCACAATGATTTGAATAATGTCTCATGCGCTTCGGAAAGTTCTGGCAGACTTTTGCATAAGTGTGAGCAGCTGCACGAGACTGCTGCATTTATCTCAGTTATGTAACGCATAGTTCGCTCTTGACGGGGAATAAACATATAAACAATATTATACAAAAGGAAGTTTATGAGAAATTGGACAAAAATAAAGTAATCTTTACCATTTAACGAAAGCATAAGACATCAATAGAAGTTGAAAGCCTATAATATTATTTTTGTTTCACTGAAAAAAATCCATTAAATACTAATGACGATTAAGCTTGACAATCAGATGTTTTAAGAAGTCGCCGTTGATAGTGTTGTATAGTAGTCAACAAAAGTTATCGATTGGGATATGAAACAGTTCAAAAGCATTGCTAGAATCTTAACAATAATAGAAAAAGAATTCTAAATAACATGGAACTAAAAAATATTTGATGACAACGAGGAATTTCATAGAGCAATTCTTTTATGAACTACTCAATGATACTAAATGAACTTTATCATAACTATTGATTTTATATTAGTATGCATGACTTAATCATAGGTTTCAGATACTTTCATAATATGAGATGATGACGGTGTATATAGTGGACGAGCACATCGAATTTACGTAGCTGCCTGAAGAATCATAAAGATCAAATATGAGACTCGATGCTGCCTACATTTCCTTGCCTTAAATATGATTCGATTATTTCGACTTAATTGGTCATCACATAATAAACTGCACTTGTAAACAATTAGTAAATGTGTAAAAAACCTTTGTGTGACCAGCATTCGATCATATGTGAGGTGGAGTTTGCCCAAGAAGAATGAGAAAAAAAATGTAAGCTTATAAATGTTCATATTTTACCATGCGTCTGATAAAATTTAACAAAACGCAAAATAATCTATAATTATTATTATGACGCTTGCACAATGTATCCTTAATTTCTATTACTTTATGCAAACAAGTAATTCCAAAAACGCAACAGAAATTTACGACAGGAAACTATTATAAACTCATTTAAACGAAAATGACCTTAATAAAACGCACTATATGTTCAATATACATTTCAACATCCAAAACATCTAAAAAATTTTCATTCATATCGACTAAAACTATTCCGAATCTTTTTATATTTCGTGTAGAACTCGCCTGCCCAATTCTAGACCATCTTGATAATTTCGATATTTTATGCTCCATGATAAACGTTTGTACATGTATGAGTATAAATGCAATTGTGGACAGTTACCACTGATATAAGATAAAACATTGTTATATCTGAATATTCAACTTTGATCATCTTTAACATATTATTCATTTATCTAAGATATCAATTCATACACCATCTCAATAAAGTATTTTTCTTGAATAAGTACCCTTTACAAGATTGAACTGAATAAATTTAAAGACTTCTAGAAAACTGCTTGTATTTTAATTTCCAATCGAAAACTGTATTTGATCACTGGTGATAGTTGAAGCTAACTAAAAAACGCTACTATATAGTAATAATCTAAAAAGCACAAAAATGAGTAGTTTTTGTTACGAAAACGCTCTAGGGAAAATCTTTGATATTTCCGTGCCGAATCCTTCAAAGCTTTGCCATTTTTTCCTGAGGAAACGACTATATTCCAAAAGAAGTGTGTAGCCACGAAATCTTAAGAGTCTGGTAGGATTCAACACAAAATTCAATTAGAATTCTTAGCATTTTATGACTTGTTTTTTTGAACACGATGATCATTGATGAAACAAGATATGATTGTGGGTGT